CAGTGGTACCATTCCCCTGGTAATACTTATCAACGAACTGTAGAGCTTCATGTTAACAAAATGCCATCTAAGGATGCATTTACTTAACAGCTACATATCTCATTAGGGACATTTAATATAGCAAACTACTTGGAAAAGGGAAAGAAACCAACACTTGTTTAGCATGTAACGCTATTTAGGCCTACTTTGTTTATTCCTTACAACAAAGTAAGAAAGGGATTGCTATTCTCATTTCTCAGAAAAAGAAAACAACTCAAAGAAGTTAGGTAACTTATCTAAATAGTAATGCTGAGTTTGAATACTGCCTTTACATATGCAAGCCCAAATGATATCAGCGAAGGAAAATGAAATAATAACAGCAATGATGCTTGTATGACATAAACGATCTGAAAATATTTCAACTTTAAAGCAATAAATACATAATTTTAAAACATAATCATTAATTTATTGACCATTAACTTTTTAACTGATAACTCATAATGAAAACAAGAGAAAGCTAGTTAAGTGTTCTAACCAATGTTTTCTATGATAATTCCTGCCAGAAATAGTAGGTATTCAATAAATGCTGTGTTATTGGATGATGAAAATGAAAGCTAGAACCAATAAATACCTGCTTGTCATCCTTGGAAAGCTGTATGAACATATTCTTTTTCACAATTATGATTGCAATATTTACAAAAACAGACCAAATTTTAATCAATGTAGAATACAAAATGTTTTTTAAAAATGCATAGCAATGCTGAAAACATCTCAATATCATCACAATTCCTTGTTCAGATTCTTCATTTACTCTTTGTGTGTTCTCAGAAACAACCCCAGTACACAGCACGAAGACTCAGTAACATCACAGTGACACCATAACCTTCACTTTTTGTGCCAAAATTACTTTTAAAGAATATCTTACTGCTTTCCTGGCTATGGTAACAAAATATAATTCACTGAATGACTTATAAACAATGTATTTCTTAGAGTGTGGGGAGCTGGGAAAGGCTAAAATCAAGGCTGCAGCGGTTCAGGGGCCTTGTGATTCCTGGAGACCCTCTTCTCACTGTGTCCTCATATGGTAGCCAAGGCAGAGCAGCTCTCTGGGGTCTTTTTATAAGGGCATTCATCTCATTCATGGAGGCCACACTCAGGTGACCTCATTATCTCTTAAGTGCCAAATTCCAATATGTTGAGCACTAGGTTTCAGCATATGAATTTGAAGGACACAAAATCATTCAAAGATGACACTCATCTTGAAAATTTTGGTGCACGTATGCCGATGTGGATTTTACTGGAATGAAGACTAGTATCTCCTAGTGTCATAAATATCAAACACGTACAACAGAATTTATTTTAAGAAAATGTATACAATCAACGTTTGGGAAAATGTAATAAAATTATGTATACATACAAAAATAAAAATAACTTCCATCACAGACTTACAGGTCTACATGACATCAAAAATGTCAAAAAGCAAGATCTAGACAAAATAGGGATGTGATAAATACAGGCTCTGTCTTTTAAACACCAGCAAAGAGCTAAGACAGAACTAGAAATAGTTCAGAAAAGACAGATGTCAACTCTGGAAGACAGGATTTTTTTGTTGCTTTTTTTTTTTGTTTTTTGCCTTTTTGTTGCTTGCCTGTCTTGTTAACCAAAATTAGCGGATTACTACATTTCTTCTTTTAATTTAAATGGCACAAATGCAGCCACTGACAGACTAACAGTACAGCACACTTCAGAAAGGTACCTATTGCTATCACTAAGTGACATATACCAATAGCAGGATGAACAAGTATCTCACCAGATACAGTCTCTTTGGAATACAGAATTTAGCTTATTAAATATTGCTTTCATTAATCTCTGTAATCCTCACTTGCCATAGCTCAGAAACATAGTTGCTAAAGCTCCCATGACAAAGAAAGCTGCATTTCAACTAAATTAAAAAATAACAGGACATATTATAGTAACTTTTTTGTTGTCCTGTTAACCTGAATTGACCCCCAGTATTGCTCTCCCCATCTTGTTCTGTGTGATTATTATATATTCTATTTTGTTTGATAGTATCAAGTTTGAGGGTATAGGCATCACTTTGAAGGCAATAAGATATACTATGGTGCCCAATATGGATTGACTATCATCCTTCTTTTTTTTTTTTTTTTTTTTTTTTGAAGTCCTGCAAGGTCCTCAGTGTAGATTTTATTGGTTTTGTTCCTTATTGTTTTGATCAATTCTATTATACCTGATGATATAGATAACTCAATTTAAAAATAGCAAGAGGCACAATGGTAACCACTGTTGATCACCTGGTATTCTATTTTTGCATCACGTGCTATGCCCACCCTTCTGTTCTAACTGACTCTGTTTTGCTTAGTCACATTTGTTTTTATTCTCTTCAAAAAAGTAATAACAACCGTGAGAGTAATAAAACCCTAAAGGTCTAATTGTTACTGTAAAAAAGAGAAGAAAGTAAGGTGGACTAAGGGATATAACCGCAGGTATGTTTGAGAGTGTAGGATGGAAAACCATATAACTGAGCTTTTGTTGGATCATTGAACGGAACTGTCTCTAATTTCCCTGTATGAATGTTCACTTTATATGCTTTAATTTAGTGATATGGACAACTGTTTCTGGGAAGATAATGTGTAGCCTGTTAACTGGTGATTTCGTACTGTATATATTTTTTTCTAGAAATACTGTATTATTTGTACCCTTTTACTGCATTGTTTTTTATGTCCTTTCTTTTTTTCTTCCCTCTTTAAATAAAAAAAAAATTTTAAAAAAAGAAAGCTGCATTTCACATTAATCTCCCCTTTCCATATCACTTAGTTCTCTTCTTTGAATTTTGAACACACTTATTTTGTAGGTGAACACCCACAGCTCTGCCCTGCCAGACTCACTGTGTGTGCTTCACTCCAACTGTAACTAAAATGCTATAATTCCACATCATTACATTAAGCCATAGCCAAGCTGCAGATTTTACACTGACTGATTCCTAAGATCGCATTAGCTCACCACTAGTGGTTTAGTCACTGTATCAACTATTGGTATTAAATCTTCGGATACAATGAAAGTTAACAATGCTATTTTTATGTTGTGCCAAAAAATCATTCAGTCTGTTTTCCCTTTTTGATTACAGTTCATTTAAGGGAAAAATGTTGCTGCATGCTTTGACAATGTTTTATGTGTCTTCGGCTGATAGAACACACAAAACGTTTGAATAGGCCCATTTATTTGAGCAGACGTATTAAATAATACTTTAAATGTGAACATGCATGTCATAAATTTTGTAGTCTCTTTAAAGTAGGATAAATCTGGTATTTAAAGTAGTCTTTGTTCAAAGCCATTTTTTTCCTAACAGTCATAAAGGGACTCTGATTTGAGCTGCATGAACAATGCCAGCATCATCATTTTAATGTTATCCATATGGGCTTCTAATAATAGATAAGAGTCTACATTTGTATTATATGTCTTAGAGACATTTAAAATCTAGATAAGGAAAGGCTGATTTCATTGGCCCCATAGTTAAAGGAAAGCAGACCCTAATTAAAAGAATTCTGTTCTGAATTAACTAGTTTGACATGTGCTAATTGACAGTTCCTGTGAAATGGTTCTAATTAAAGTCAATATGTCTTTTTCAATTAAAAGGAAATTAAGAATATACTAATATACATTAACAACTTAATCTGCCTTCAATATCCCATACATCAGCTGCTTTTCCCCCCCTAACGTTATTGGAGAACCAACTTGACATGAATCATCTACTGTTTGCTTATGGTATCTCATTATTACTTCACACGAGCACAGCAGTCGTAGATATCCCCTCGAGGAAGAAGATAACTTGCACATGGTTTGATTTTCAGAGCTCCCACCACTTAGTTCATTAAACATAAACCTACCTTTTTGAATTTAAAAACTGGACATTTCTTAATAAGAATCTTTGGTAACCCAAAACAAAGACAAGTGTTCTCAATTAGTTGGTCTTTTTACTATAGGCCTTCGACGTAATTGCATTCTGCTGGAAAAAAGTCTGGACTATGTTTTCATCCTTTGGTTTGTTTCAAAGCAAAGCTTGATTGGAGCAACACACAACAAAAACCTCTTTCAAATCATGCTCTTTTTTCCAAGCAAAACTTTGGGGACATCTCAGGTGGGAATACTTTGCATTGTATGCAACAGGAAAATAGAAAGTAAGGTTACTTAAATGCCAGCACTAACAGAAGGCCCATCATCTTCAGTGAAAATGTAGCATTAAGGCTGTTTATAGCAATATAATTAAATATTCAAATATGCATTACCAAAGCTATGGTGTTAGCAATTTTTGTGCTAGAGAAAGTAATATTAAACTGAGGCATCAATACTAATGCAGACAGCATTAACACACATGGAGAACTATGAAAAAGATTAAAACTATTTCTTTTTAGTAGGTGATTATAATTTAAATATTATAATTATAATGAAAATACTCTTAAAGGAAATTTTTTATGCACTACTACATTCTCAGGTCTGATATGGCTAATATTTTGATAGGCATTCTAACACAAACTCCTTTTACCAGAGTTAAAAATTCAACTATAAAATGTACTTCCTCGTACGTATAGGAAACAATTTTACTTCTCCAAAACTAGCTCATTCATGCTTAATACAGATCAAGAAAAAAGATAAGCAAGTCATTTCCACTATTCCACTTCTATTCACTTACACTTTTAAAAGATGAAATTTGCTATCACCTGTAGCTTTCAGAGTACATGTGGGACAGATAGGAAAGCAGCCTGCCAGCCAGCCAACCCTAGATTTCTCATCGAAAGCAATTTTTCCCAACTGTACTCAATTATCCTTTTCTGAGTAGTTACCAAAAACTTTAATGAAAATCATCTTAAGTGGAAATCTGAAAGCAGCTGAAGTCTAGCAATTTTGCAGAATGAATAAATGCATATTAATCCACTTTCAATAAATCACCTCCTTATAATTATAAACATGATCAGACTCAACAGTCAAAATGTAGTGTTATTTACCAGCATGTGGAGCCCCTCGTTTGATTTCCAATCCTAGGCTCTTGCTCCTCGAGCTGGCATAGACTGGAAATGCTGCAGTAACAGCATGTACTCAGCTTTTTGAAATGGGAAAGAAGCCAGTGCAGCAACTTTTCTGCCCAATTAAAGAGCATTGTCTATAGCAGGCCTACACAACATAAGGCCTGCAGACTGCACACAGCCATGAAGCAATTGTTCATGACCCACCCACAGATTTGGGAAGGGGAAGCAAGTAGAAAGACAGACAATACGGCACCTAAGTCAGAAATGAGGGTGAGGCTGTTCAATAATTCCACCTTTCTAACTCCACATGTTACAATAACAGTACCACAAATCTAAAAACATGGCAGCAATCAATAGGAGCTGTCAAGCCTTCTAACAAAAGCATTCACTACTGCAACGCTGCACTAGAATAAAAACTTCTGAAGGGCAGGAACTATACTGACCTAAACTTAGGAACCCTCTGTAGCATTCATCAGAAGACTTACACTCTTTGAGCAGTTAATTAATATTCATTAATGATCCTCAAGGCTCATATTTTCTTCTAAGAACTTACATGTTTTTATCACTTTCTCTTGCTCATTTCATTCAGTTGCCAACAGTTGCCTAACATTGCTCAAACTGGAAAATGTTTAAGAATGAACTCAAGAGGAGAATGATATCACAGGAAAAAGTAGAGTAGGAAACTTCAGGATCAGTCTGTCCTCCAATACAACTACTGAGTCGGCAAGAACCGTCAGGATCAACCATTTTAGAGCTTTAGAATCTGAGCAATGTCCAGAGTGTGCTTGATGGAAAAAGAGATGTCAATTTAGGTGGATTTCAGTGTTACATATAGCAACTGGTACCCTTAAGCCATAGGAATGTAGCCATGGAACAATGCCTGTCGTCCAATGTGAGACTCACTGGTGCCAGGGTGGTCTACAGGGACTCTCTTCCCAAAAACTGGGGTTCTATGTCTTGACCTGTCTGTAAGAGGTTGATTCAATCTAAGATTGAATCTGCCATTGATTCAATCTTACTGGGTAAAAACAAACTCCCTGCCATCCATAAGAGGAAGTTAAAGAAACAGAACATAGTTTATTTTTTGCTTCTCTTATTGATCTGGACATATAAAGAAACCTGTGTTAGTTTACTGGCTGACCATGGTGATAACAGAACATATGTTTAGGACTCCATTCATGACAGGAACTCTCTGCAAAACAACTTGCAATGGGCACTAAGTAAATGAAAAATTGAATTCCTTATTAAGCAACAACAACCCTTGATATAGGAAGTAGAATCTGATGTCCAGAATTATCACATTCCAATATTGAAAATGTCTAGTTTGGGAAAAAAAAATGGAAAGCATGCAAAATGGGAAAATGTAACCCATTCATAAGAAAGAATACTGAAAGGCACCATTCTTGAATAGAATTGCATTCAATTTACTAAAAATTTTAAGTGTCAAAATCTGATTCAAAGAGCTGAAGTAAATCATGAATCAGTAATTAAAATACACTAGAAAAGCTATGCATGAACAAAATAGGAATATCAACAAAAGAAATTATTATGAAAAAGCAGAATCTTGGAGCTGAAAAGTAGAAAAAATGATATAAAAAAAGCACAAGACATATGCAACAGCTAATTAGAATAGGCAAAAGAAAAAGTCATCAAACTTGTAAATAGAATAATGGTAATTACCCAATGCAGGGAAGAGGCAGAAAATTAGTGAAGAAAAGTGAACCAAGTCTAAAAGACCTATGGGATACCATCAAGCACACCAACATACACATCATGGAAATCACAGAAGAAGAGGGATAGAGTTAGGCAGAAAAAAATATTTGAAGAAATATGACTGGAAAGTTTTTCCAACATGATGGAAGATACGAATATATCCATCAGTAATTCAAGACCCCAGACAGGACAGATTTGAAGAGAATCACACCGACATATATTACAATCAAACTGTTGTAGGAAATCTTGAAAGGTGTAAGAGAGAAGCGATTCATGACATTCAAGTCATCCTCGATAAGATTAACAGACGAGTTCTCAGCAGCAACTAAGGAGAGAAAAGATATAGGATGAAATATTCAAAATATAAAAGGGAAAGAGTGCCAATCAAAAATTCATATCCAGAAAAACAATCCTTCAAGAATAAAAGAGCTGAAGTGTTCCTAGATAAACAAAATCTAAGGGAGTTCGTTGTCAGTAGACTTGCTCTATAAGAAATGAGTCCATTAGACTCAAGCAGAAGGTCACTAAGATGAAACTTAAAAACATGCAAAGAAATAAAAATCACCAGTGATGGTAAGTACATATGTAAATATAAAATCCAAAACTAATACATTTTTGCATAATTCCTTTTTAAATTTTCTGTATGATTTAATAAACAAATGCATAAAATATAAACCTATATTAATGGTCACAATGCATAAAGATGTAATTTGTAACAATAACAACATAAAAAGAGTTAGGAACAGTCAATGTATGTTACTAAAGCTAAATGGGTATCACTTTAAACTAGATTGTTACAAAATTAGGATGTTAATTGTAATCCCCATAGTAACCTCTAAGAAAATAATTTAACATACAAAAAGGAAATCAACATGGTCTACCAGAATAATCTATCAATAACAAAACAGACAAATTGGAGGAACTGAGTAAAAAAAAGACATGAAATATAGAAAGCATAAAGCACAAAGAAAGAAATTAACTATCAAAAACTTTTTAAATTAAAACAAACTCACCAACTAAAAGGCAAAAGTTGGCGAATAAATTTTTTAACTTATGGATCTGAACCCTCACCTGCATACAAAAATTATTTCAAAATGGAACCTTGACCTCATATAACAACTGTAATTATGAAACTATTAAAAGAAATCACAGAATTAAATTTTCATGATTTCATATTTGGTAATGGATTCTTAGACTCTTTCATAAAACACTGACATAAAAAATAAAGCTAATAATGATCACATGTGCCTGTAATCCAGCACTGAGGGAAACTGAGGCAAGAAAATTATTAATTTGAAACTCTCCTGGACAACTCAGTGAGACCCTGTCTCAATATAAAAAAAATTTAAAGTGCTTGAGACATAGCTGGGTGATAAATTATCCCTGAGTCTATCCCCCAGGACAACAGAAAGAAAGAAAAGGGCAGAGAGACATTTGACTTCACGGTCATAAAAGTAAAGGAAACATTAAGGAACTATTCCAAATTAACAGACACCAAGAAGACACAACAACTAAAGGCAAAATTCCAACCTAAATCAAACTGTTTCACTAAAATGCAGATAGCTGAGACCACTAGCAAAGCTTGAGTGAGTTCTCTGGATTTGATGACATTATTCTACCATGTTAACTTCCTGATTTTCTATCCTGAACATAACAGTGAATATTCATATTGCTAGCAACTACAAACTAAGGTGAACTGGGTTAATGGAGCCTCATGTCAGCAAGTTACCCTAAAATGATAAAAAAAAAAAAAAATCACACTCTTTTGCAGTTTTTAGAGCTTAAAATTAAATCAAAAAAATTCACATTATGCATGAAAAAATACCTATCTTTCCAGTTTTCTCAATTTAATTTTTAAAAATTTGTTTTTCTCAGTTGCAAAAAATACAGAGCTTTGGAGAATGGATACATTTGACATCATAAAAATGAGGATGTTATGTGTATTAAAGGATATTTCCAAGAATATGAAGAGAATGGGAGAGAAATTTTACAAACCATATATCTGACAAGGGATTAATACCAAGAATCTATAAAGAACCCTTACAACTCAACAAACAATCAACTCAAATATTGTAAAAATGGGTAAAGGTATGGAATAACTACTTCTCCAAAAAGAAATATCTAACAAGCACATAAGAAGATGTACATTATTAGTCATTAAAATGTTTGACAAGATTCCATTTCAAGCCCATTAGTATATCTTTAATCAAAAATGTAAAAAAGTAAATATTAGCAAGGATATATATATAAGTAGGAATTTTTATACGTTACCAGTGGGCATATAAAATCATGCAACCACTTTGCAAAGCAATGTGGTTATTCCTTGTGAAGTTAAACACAGCATTACTAGATGACTCAGAAATTCTGCTCATAGATATATACCCAAGAAACAAAAAGTTGTTTACACAGAAACTAGTATACAGATGTTTATAGCAATATTATTCATAATAACAGGTGGAAACTGTCCAAATGCCTATCAATGGATAAACAAACTGTGATGGAGAGTGCAAGTGGGTGTAAGTATATGAGTGTGTAATGAAAGCATTATGCTAAGCAAAAGAAAGCAGACACAGAAGGCTGCATATTACATACCATATTAGTCTATTTTCCATTGCTACAACAAAATACCTGAGATTGGATGACGTATTTTCAGAGGGGTTTGTTTAGCTCACAATTTTGAAGGCCGAAAGCCCAAGGTCAGTGAGCGCCATTCGTTAAGCCCCTGGTGAGCACCTCAAGGCAGAGGGATGGAGTGGCAAGACCAGAAGCCTCAGAGCCAAGAGGGGCTCCTTTTGCTCTTTTATAAATCTTCCTCTTGTGGGAACCAGCTACAGTTCTATGAAAACTCTATTAACCTGTTCACAAGCAGCACCCTCAAAAACCTATAGTCACTTCCACTAACCAGCCTTCAACACATGATCCCCTAAGAGACAAATTACATGCAAAACCCAGCACATTCGTCAGTGGTTATCAAACAAGTAAATACTTTCTTCTAAACAGCAAAACTCCAAGACAGAACCAGCATTCACACTGTGAGTACTAGTCAATCTAAATAACTACTTATAAGGTTTCATGAGTTTTCTTTGACCCTTTCAAACATCATGAATTTTGAAAATAGTGATACTGTACTTATGTGGTTTTAATCTACCCTTTCCACAGGATTTTCATATATATAGCTCTGCCTTTCAATACTTTATTTTGTCCTTTGCTGATATTGACTTTGTGTCCAAATCTAGCATTAACTTATAATTCTCTTAAAGTCAGACAATAAGAACAAGCACAAGGTAGAAATGTGAATAGACAATCTTGCCAAAATTCCCATTAAGTTACCAGTCATAGAAGTACAAATTTTTTGTAATGAAATTTAAATGGTTACAGATGTCTCATCAAGAAAGAGAAGACCAACATTTGACCTTCACCATGTTATGGAGGTACCTTAAGAATCTAAAATAGGACTAAAGATTTAGCTCAGTGGGAAAGTATTTGCCTGGCATGTGGAAGATACTGAGTTCGATCCCAAACAAAACACACACACACACACACACACACACACACACACACACACACGGATCCAAAAATAATACTTACTGACTGTCTGAGTGATTTTTGAGACAGGGTCTCTCTATGTAGTTCAGGCTGGCCTTGAACTCACAGTAGTCCTCCTGCTTCAGCCTCTCAAGTGAGGATTACAGGCCTGTACCACCACATCTGTCCAATACTTAATGTTTTATTCTATTTGATAAAAAAATTCCTAAAATTTTTTCAACTTGAATATATAAATATGGTGCTCTATAAAATCTTGCATTAAGGTGTAATTTGTAAATACCAATACGACTATTTGTGGGTATCTAATTTTAAAAATAATAAATTCCTCTTATAATCATAGTTCATTTTGGAAATACTTTCTTCAGACTAATTTTTCTGAATGTATAACGTTAAAACTAGAAAATGAACGTTTCGGGGATAAGATAAACTAAAAACATATGTATTTCCAAACAGTATATATTTCCAAAAAGTTGCTAAAGGAGATGGTAAGACTGCTGTACCATCAGGACTATAATACTGATATTAAAAAAAAAAAAAAAAAACTAGGGCCAGGAATTTAGCTCCGTGGCACAAGCACCTGTCTGGCAGGAGTGTGAGGTCATGAGTTCGATCCCTGGTACCAAAAAGACAAAAAATAAAAATAAATAAAAAACTAAGTATCATCATGATGAAATATTAGAAGGAAGAAAAATAAATTACCTCTCCAACATTATATGTCCAACTGTTTTTCAAAGATTGTTGTTAGATATCCCTGAAACTAAATAAAAGTAAAGTGAAAAGAATGAAAAGAAACCCTCAGTTCCTTTACTAATTCTTAGACCAGACAATAATATGAAATAAATGCTACACTCACATTTCATCTATCTTTACCTTTATGTAAATAATTAGCAATATTTTCTGTTCATATCTTGCTTTGCCCGAGCTGATTTCTCTATAAGAAAAAGAAACTGCTGCATTATTAATGTTAGCTTATGCACATCTTATAAATTTTAGGGAAAATATTTCTTGGCAAGAAGTCTACTCAAGAAATCAGTATGTGTGGGGCTGGGGGTTTAGCCCAGTGGCATAAGCATCTGCCTTGCAAGTGTGTGGTCCTGAGTTCGATCCCTGGTATCGATAAAAAAGAAAAAGACCAAAAAAAAAAAAAAAAGAAAGAAAGAAAGAAAGAAAAAGAAAAGAAATCAGCATGTGAGACAGGACATGACCTCCCTTGTAGAAAGAACCCTTTTCAAAATTGCTTTTAAGGACTTAACATTATTACTCCCTTTGCTCTTTGCCATGTCCCCTTACACCGACTATTAAGAAATAGGATCCTCTTTAGTATAAGCATTGTGGAAACTATTTGTTTGCAGTGGTAAGCAGCTAAACATATTCTCTTCTAACATATTCTAATTTGTTCCTGAATTGACAGCAAAAAAGTACAGGTGTTTTTAATGCATTCCTGGGTTTTTTGTTTTGTTTTTGTTTTTATATACAAATTAATTGCTCCCAGCCATTCTGAATTTACATACCATGACCCTTGTGATATTATTCTCTTATTCTTTCTAATTAAATATTCATATTTGGTATTTCAGAGCACAACAGATTTTTCTTCTAAATCTGATCCCTTTATGGGATTCAAGATCCCTGGATACATCATACGGAGAAGTGTGTGACATTGCCAGCAAACATCTAAGCACATCGGTCACTTTCTGAGCTATTAGTTGGCTTCCACTTTACTGTTTATTAAACAAATAAGGTCATCAACAAGAAAGTGCTCCCATACAGAGGAATCCAGATGAGAAGCAACCCAGCGAACTGAATGCACCAGTGGACTTCTGTAACGTAGTGCTCCCTAAACTGTCTGTAACACTATGTGATAGACGCCCCTTTTTGAAAAGATGATTCCTGCAGATTGTTCAGTGAGCAGTAGTAGCCTCATTCCCACAGACAATGATAGACGCGAAATAGCTCAAAGCCTGGCTTTCTGGCTGAGCTTCTATTCTTGCCAAGTGAAGGACTCAGTGGAGAATGCTGAGGCAGGAATCCATGGAGCTTGAGGAGCTCCCAGGCCGTGTTTGTTTAACTCCCGGGGTTCCTCCTCACCACAGCTGTCACTAAAACTCAGGCTGCCCCAAGCCAAATAAAAGGTTGTGTTTTCTTCAATCTTTGAAGGGGCTGGTTCACAAGTTCTGTTTTCAACCTGTGGATCAAAGACGCTGCTTTGGCAAATGTAATCAGAAGGAAAGTGTGAGATCTCAAGGTGGACAGACAGCCACAGGGCCGTGACCTGCTACCTTATAAACTGATGTGCTTATTAATGGTCGTAAAATTGTTGTATTTATCTACAACTCCTATTTAAGTGTGTTTACAGTTCTCAGAGTGCATTTAATATATGTCTCCATCCAGGTGGAGGTAACTGTGACAAAGGTAACAAAATAAATGGGTAAGAAAAAATGACAGCAAATGCCACAGCCTGAAACATCAGGAAAAGCCCAAGTTACTATTCTAGCTTTCTCGCATTTCTCAGATTTTCATTAAAGATACCGGCAGGGGCCTGCAGTGTGTGAATTTACGTAACTTGAATCAAGGGTCAGTCAGAAAACAACTTACTTTCAAGTCTGCTGATCAATGCATAGCTTTAAATGGCACATGCGCCACTTTGCATCTGATTTTCTAAATGTTCCTTTTTTCTTTTTGTGGCTATCAGGAGTCAGACTGGGGACCTCGTGTTTCCCAGGCAGGTGCTGCACTGCTGAGCTATATCCCAGGTCCCTAAATATTTCTTTTTAAAAAGACATATTAAAAGAACGAGGAGGAGGAAGAAGAAAAAGAGAAGGAGAAACAGAAGTGTAGCTATCATTTGGATCCTGTACGCCCCTCCCCACCCTAGGCCCTACGCACTGAAGGCGTGTTTGCAGCCTGCAGTGTCACTGGGAAGTGGTGAAACATTTAGGACCAGGAAGTGGAAGTTCGAGCACTAGGAAGAATGTAACCTGGAAGGGGGCACTGGATCCCCCCATCTTCTCCTCTCTTTGCTTCCCTATCAATCATGAAGAGGTCTCCTCTACCCTGCCCTCCTGCAGTGATATATTGTCAGTGGGACCAAGCAACCATAGACTGAAACCATAAACCAACATAAACCTTCCCTCCTTATAAGCTGTATAACCGAGGTATTTTGTCACAGTGATGGAAAGCTAGTTGACAATAGTACAGCTTCTTAAAAACAGGTTTCACAACTAAAATGATGATAAGAATAATGACAACATCTCTTGAAAGGCCCTGAAAGTTCTCTTTTCTTGGAACCCCTTCATATCATCTAGAGAAAGATTTGATAGTCTTTCTTCCATGGTTTTCTTCTCAGCCTAAAATAATCTATGTGAGTTAAAAGCTAACAAAACAAGTAGAAATGAAATTACTATAATTTTTATCACATAAAACTGTCTGAAGCTATGTGTCTTATGTTTTTGAAAAATCCTTACCTCTGCCCAAAGTTGCAAATACATGGGGCATCTCTGAAGCAGAGTTTTTTCTGAAAACCACAGATCTCTTCTACAAATCTGAAGACGAAACTCTGACTTGTATCCTTCCAAGCTATTTAACTGCATATTCATACTGCCTCTATATTTGAACACTTAAAAATGCATGGGACAAAAAATCCAGTTGAAATTTATGAAACACAAAAGTTCCTCTACGCAGTATGCCAATGCCAGATGCCGTTTTAATGAAACACCTACCCTGTAAATAGAGGAGTATAAAGCAAGCGACAGGGAGGAGCAAGTCAGAGGAGGGCGCAAGTGAAACAAAGACATAAAAACCAACAGGAATTAATTCACCCCGAATAACCTGAACTAAGAAACTGCACTAAAGCCAACAAATTGTACTTGAAAGGTTTTTTTTCCAATTTTTTTGTGTCTATTCACTCTAATGTTGTTGTCTGAAAACCTCGTGACTTTGTTACCGTTTTGAAAACATGCTCAGATTAACTGACCTAAGTTCCCTTGCATAAATTTTTTTCTATACAGAGAAAACAGAGGAATAAGCAAGCAGAGAGGAAAGGATGGAAATCTGCTTGAAAAGAAGACAAAAGAAAAAATGAGAAAAGAAAGAAAATCAGAAACAAAGCCTTTGCAAATAAGGAGGGAAAGCGTGGTTAAAGGGAGAGGAGGGGAAAGGGGAAAATGAATCATATATCATGAACATAATCCCCTATGAGGAGTGTGATCGTTGTATATATCTAAAATATACCAATTAACTTAATTAACTAATAAATATTATAGAAGATCAACGATCTTTTCAAAGGAAACATGGAGGGAAAGATTCGGTAGGAAGGGCCATAATTTTAGTTAGGAGATATATCTCATAAAATTGTTTAATATAGTAAAGTGTGTGTGTCTGTGTGTGCGCATGTACTCCTTCAGCTGGTCTTTGCTAGCAATGGGATGACACATGGGTGACAGAAGTAAGTACAGTTGATCTGCTTCTGGTAGCATGACAAAGTGAATTGTTCCTGCTCCAAACACACAGAAATGCTGGATAAAATACAGACAAAAAAATTAGTATGTAGCTCCAAAACACCCAGACTCCAAAAACAGAGAGGAAACTCTTTGTGTTTAACGTGACAGCCTGACAATCTCAGTCATAAAGAAGAAACTGCGCCCAGGGACCAGCAGCTGAAGGCACAAGCTTTGCACGCGCAGACAGGATGTGTGACCGGAGCCCACACACGTGGAGTTAGAATGAAATAACTAACGGAGACACCGAAATAAAAAAATTCAGATGATCAAAGGAGGCTTATTGCATTGAAAAGAGGGGAGGGGCTTCTATGCAAACCAAAACCTTTGCTCAGCAGCCCAGGACAGCAGTAGGAAAGCTGATTTTCTGCCAGAAGCTCTAGCTAGGAAAGTTTCCGGGCAAAGAGCAAAATCTAAAAGTGGACGTGGGGTCCAGATTTACATTCCCTGTGAAGTAGGGTGATGCTACGTCCAAGAAGAACATGTCTTAATATGAAATTTTTTTTTGTCTTTTTCCTTTTTATTGGTACCAGGGATCGAACTCATGACTGCCTGCTTGCAAGGCAGGTGCTTATGCCCCTGAGCTAAATCCCCAACCCCTTAATATGAAATTTTTATAAACTATGATAGCATGAGCTTCATGGAATATTAGTAAATGAAAGAAATCTAGATGCCAAATACTAGGAATAGTATATCTATTTATATAGGGGGAGGAAAAGATACAAATTTGATTCCATGAAAAAATAAGTGACAGATATAACATAAGCTAATTAAATTATTTCCTACAAGAAAAAAGAGGATGAAGGAAAAAAAAAACAAGACAATGTTCTCCAAATTAACCTTGTTTTCTGGTTTTGATTTGCAAACTATATAAATTTCTGACGTTTAAATTATTAAACAAGATTGAATCAAGACTACCAAAAGCTATTCCCCCCTAGTTTGAAAGTAAAATGAAATAAACTTGCCTATCTATCAAATAGCTTGCTTAAACTCATAGGGGGCAGTTATTTCAAGTAACTTCTGAGTAACTTGACTATAAATTTTTAGCAAGGACTAAAAGAAGCACAAAGAAATTTAAACTGTTTTCAGTAGCCATATTGTTAATTATACCATTGGGATTGTAATGTTAATACAGAAAGATTAAGTAACTTCACGTAATGTCACTAGGAACAAACATTTTCAGCATAAGAAAAAAGAAACACAAACATAGAACCTACAAAATTAATAAAACCCTGGAATCCCGAATTTGAATTAGAGAATTTCTTTATTCATGCCTATTTGCAAGGCTGCCTGGCAAACTTGGATTTCTGAAGGATTTTTACCATTCCCAGAACTGGAAAGTGTCTTGGCTGTGCTAACCTGCACGGCGTAGTTTAAGCAGAATACTTGGTCCTGCTCTTGCTCTGAGAGACAGGAATGCCTAAATGACCAGCCTCCAATAAACACTGTGGCAACAAGTCTCTGCCACACACGCCTGATAGACATTTCACACCTGTCACCCCTCATTCCTGTGTGACTGCACGAAAGGGTTCTTGGGTGGCTGGCTTCCTCCAGACTTAGCTCCATTTGCCTTCCAAGACCGCTTAGGAAACTCCCACTCCTGCTATAACAGATCATAGCTATGAGCGTGGTGACAGACAGAATCCTGCAGCCTGTGAGTCCTCCGAGTGAGTCACAGAACATGAGAGTGGTGGTAGGAGCCCCAAAGACAGTGGGAAGTTCAACAGACTACCAGGCTGATTTTCTCAACACACACTGCACAGGACACACGGGAAGGAATTTTCATTTGAAAACAATAAATGTTTAATGCTTTTTTAGCTGATCTAACTACAACAACAAACATTGAAGCCAAAAAAAAATCTTATTTCAACACCATACATGGAAGAAATTATAAAACTTTATTATCAAGCAGAAATGAAAACCTCAACGAATAGAAAACTATACTATGTTGGTAGATGGGAAGACTTGGTTTCCTAACAACAGCTATTCATTTTTTGATACATGTTGTAATACATAAAAATACATTCATCATGGGGAGTTGGTACATACATATATAGTGTTGGTCCTTTTCATTTCTCCTTTTTCCTGTCTCCCTCCATGTCTAGGTCCCTCATATAATAGAAACCATGAGATATTTAGTATTTTGTGTCTGATTTCTCTCACTTAGCATCATGGCCTCAAAGTGCATTTATGTTCCTATAAATTACTCAAATTTATTCTCCTTTGTAACTGACTATTGTATAAAGGCCATAATTTTAAGTCATTCATTTGTGGCTGAGCAGATAGGCAACTTCTAAGGATTTCCCTAGTATGAATTGTACTGCTATAAACATGAGCATGCATGGATCACTGAAATACGGTATCTTTATTTCTTTTAAGAAGATAACCCCGAAGGGAAATACTTGGGCCAAATGAAAATTCTAGTTTCAGTTTTTAAGAATGCTCACAGATTTCCATAGTGTTTGCAGCTAGTTTGTATTATAACTAACAACACAGAAGAGTTCCCCCCACCAACCCCTACTACACACACAACCTCACTAATATTTTGGATTTACTAACTTTTTGACAGTGGCCATTCCTTGTGGAGTTAGATGGAACTCAGTGTGGTTCCCACTTGAATTTTCCTAACAGCTGAAGATGCTGAAGCTTTTGTCATGTACTTATTGGCCATTTGTACTTCTTCAGAGAAGTCAGCTCATTTCAACTGCTTGCTTTTTAATCGAGTCTCTTTATTTGGAGGGTTCAATTTTTTTAGTTCTTTATATATTCTACATATTAGTTCTCTATCCAACAAGGAGCTGGCAAAAATAAAATTTCCATTCTGTAGGTTTTCTGTTCACTCTGTCGGTTGTTTCCTTTGTGCACAAAATATTTTAAATTCTAAATAACCTCATTTGTTGATTCCTGGTGTTATTTCTTGAAAAATACTTGTGGGTATGAAATTATTCTGTAGATTCAATTCCAGGAGAAACCCCATGCAAGTTAATAAAATTGACAAGGTGATCCTCTAATTCACAGAAAAAAGACTGAAAACAGGACACCTTTGAAGAAGATGAAAAATCTGGAAAGACCCTCCAGCCATTGTCCTTGTATGACTTCTGATCATTTAGATGGTACTATATTGACACAAGACAACAAATCAGCCAGACATGATAAAAAATCCAGAAGGAATATAGATAGATAGATAGATAGATAGATAGATAGATAGATAGATAGCGAGAGAGAGAGAGAGAGAGAGAGAGAGAGAGAGAGAGAGAGAGAGATAACAGACAAATAAATAGGCAGATTTGGTTTGGTTATAGGAGAAAGTTGACCAAACAAATCTCTGAGGAAGGGATAAATTATTTTTAAAATGATACTAGGAAAACCAAGTATACATAGGAAAAAATTAGACCACCTCACAAAATAAATTCCAAGTGGATTTTAAAAACTTGTATCTGTAAGTCAAACATGTAACACTTTCAAAAAGAAAACAGTAAATACTTAGAAATGTGCTTTCTTAAACAAGACCCCCAAAATTATGTGCCTTAAGGGGAAAGGCTGAAAATAATAAGATAAAGTTTAAAACCTCTTTACATGAAGATATCATAAAAAAAGATGAAAGCCACAAAATGGGACAAGTGTACAGTGCATATAACTAAAAGTGAATTATTTCAAATAACTCCTAAATTCAAAAGGAAACCATCAGAGTCAGCATGGTAGCACTCTGAGAGACTGATGCAGGGAGATCACACATTTGGGCTCAGCCAGAATAACTTAGCAACTTAGTGGGACACTTTCTCAAATTATTATTCTTTATTTATCTTTATTAGTACACATTTGCAGTTAATGATGATTACATTCATCACGAGGAGTTGGTACATGTACATACTACATCTTAATTCTTTTTGTTGTGAACCTCTTCCTCCCTATCTCTTATCTCCCCTTATCTCTTAGTCACCTTTATTACAAAATGGCTGAGGATATAATTTAGTGCAAAAGCCCTGAATTCAGTCCCTGGTATCACAAAAATAGTAAAACAACATAAAGGAAATGTGAAGAAGCAATTCATAGAAAAGGAAATCCAAGTGCCCAATAAATGCACTGAAGGTTACTCATCCTCATTAAACATCAGCCAAATGTAAATTAAATCTAAAATCTAAAATAATTTCTAAATTGAATGCTACATTTCTATTTCTTTGTGCTATTTCCCCATGTAAATATTTAAGTACTCTTCTGGAAGTAAACAAGCTTTGACTCTTTATCACACCTGTGGAACTAACACAGAGCATCCACTGTCTAATGTGCAGTCTTGAACATACTAGGCTTTGAGCAAAGCACACAGCACAGAAGAAAATGTAACATGATATGCTTGTAGGGTGTCTAATTTATGTTCCTACAGTTAATTTTCAAAGGTCTATACACATTTCCAAAAATGAATTGTTTTACTTTGATTCTAAAATTTACCAATGGATAGAATTGTGAGTGTATCTTATGGATACATTAGAAGAATTGAAAATAGATTAAAATACTGGACCAGGGTTATGAAAGTTCCTATTAACTTTCTAGTATCAGTTTACATTAACTTTCTGTGTCCCATTTACGTTAGCATCTTCCATTTGTATATAATGAACGACAGAATCTCTAAGTCCCCTGGGTATTTGCAAAGTTTGAAACTTTCAATTGAGATTAATTTCTTCTTTCAACTACATACTAAAAAAGTTGACAATAATCATTCCTTTTAAATCAAAGCATCAAAAGCCTACTTGCCAGGAATCCAGATTCCCTTACTTCTGTTTGACTCCACTAGCTGTCCGTGGAAGACGGGAAGAAAGAAGAATGCAAATGACATGGTCAGTCAGTGACCACAGCTCTGAAAGAAGCATATTTTTCAGAGAGATTTCCTACCAGCAGTGGGGATTTTCAATGGGTCTTACAGCCAACATTTAAAATCCTCAAACTGTTCCCTTGTGGATATCCCAAGACTCCTGATAAAATACTGATTTGATATACAAGCTGCATGCTTGTGGATACAAAAATCCAAAATATGTACACAGTCCTAACGTATACTTATGTTTCATTCTGTAAGTATTGAAAACCTTGTAAAGAAAGGCAAATACAATGCTCCCACTTGTAACTCCAGCCAGAGACCTCCATGCATTCAGTTTTCTCCCAAAATTATCATAAAGCCAGAAAATGCAAAATGCGAAAGTTGAGTTTCTCTCCGTTACTCATGCACACAATTTTAGTTACATCCCTCACTGTGTGACAGAGATGTTCAGATGAGAGGCAAGAAGTCTGATTGTTTATGATTTATTCTGACTGACCTGCATGGCTTATTAAATGGAGAGGCTCTGAGGTTAAGTTACTTTGAGTTGTGGTACAAATGGCACAAAATGACAATAATTATCACTTAGTCTTTCATTTATTTTGTGGCCAAATGATGGAAACATTCCTGACCTCTATCACTTTTCATAAAGCACACATAGAATTTAAATTAATGTGAGGGATAATTCTACATGTCACCTTGAGTGGCCACAAGGTGCTTAGATTAAACACTGCTTCTGTGTTTATCCGTGAGGGAGACTCTGGGTGACACAAGGATTTCAAGCGGTGGATTTAGTAGAGGACATCACACTTCCCAGTGCCGTTGGGCAGCACCCAGTCTACTGAGGGCCTAAGGAGGCAGAGGAAGGAAGAACTGTCACAGTTGTGTCCTGTCTGTCGGACTGAGCTATGACAGCATCTCCCGTCATTTTGACTAAGATTCACACCATCAGCTCCTCCAGGCATTCAGACAAGGAGTGCAAATACACCACAGTTTTCCTAGAGCTCCAGGTTGCAGGCAGCAGACCACAGAGCAGCCTCCCAGTCAACCCCTCAGAATAAACATCTTCACAGAGAGACAGGGCTCAATAGACGGGTAGATCCCCTGGGTTCTGCTTCTCTGGAGAATCCTACTACCTGAACAAATGTCTCTTAGGATTGACTTCCCCTCTTCACCTTGGCAGTATTCATCTTCCTGAAAATAAAAACTATTTTTAGCACAGGGGGAAATTCAAGCTCAGAAAATACAAGTAACAGACCCAAAAAGGGAAAAAAGTATTTAGGCTTCACTAATCCTAATTACAACAGTTGCTTTTGTGGAGGCCACTATTAGCTAGGAGTTGAGAGACAGGATTACAGTATGTTAGCGTACGCTGCAATGTAGTGGGGACACTCATCTTTCATGCTCTATTATATGTCAGCACAGTACTGGATGTTAGATACAGAGCTACTTACAGGTACATTAAGTACCAGAATTGAGACAGAGAAATGAAAAACTATACAAGTTGAACACCCAAATCTTAATTTGAAAATCCGAAACACATCAAACTCCAAAGTTTTTGAGCACAAACATGCAAAAATCACACCTGACTTCATATAACAGATCACAGTCAAAATACAAGTGCACTAAAGATACATAAAATTATTTTCACGCAGGCTATCTATGTAAAGTTTGAAGGAAACAAATAAATTCTGTGTTTAGACTTGAGTCCCATCCCCCAAAATATATCATTGTATATATGTAAATATTCCAAAATTTTAAAAAGTTGGAAATCGAAAAACCCTTCTGATCCCAAGCATTTTGGATAGAGATGTCAAACATTTATTTTCAGGTGATATTTTCTAGAAACATCCAGGTCTAAATATCCTATACAAACTACTAAACCTGCAGTAAATTGTTACCCTTTAATAGATCAATATTGAAAAATAAACAAAAAGGAACTATTAATATGTTACCCTATGCTCATGACTGAAACATGTAATTCAATGACATACATTTTTATTCCTTTATCTTTCAGCCCACCAAAGGATTTTCACCATTAAGAAATGAAATTCATTCCAGGGGCTCTACAAGTGATAAAGTGAAAGAGGCTAGCCTAGATCTGGCCAACTTCCTCCATAAACCTAAGTAAAGCTGAAGGTGTGTGAGCTTTGATACTGTTTATTGATTGTCATCCAACAATCAATAAAAATGTAAATATTATTAATTTATTGTTTTGACTCCACTTAAGGGATTAAGGGAAACATTTTGCCAGAATTTGAGGCAATTCTTGCTGATGAATTGAATTAAATGCTTGGGGAAGCTCTAACACATCATACAACAGTATAATTAATGATAAAAAGTGCCAACCAATTAACTTTAGGGAACTTTAAGATTCGATGTAGAGTTTGCTTATGAAAAAATAAAGAAAAAAATATTGTTATGCTGCATCATTAAAAGTTCTTGTTGAAGATTTTTTAAAAATTTCCTATAAGTTGCAGTTCAAAAAACGGTATGAGTACTCCTTAATTTCCTACTTTTCGAGAGGAAGAAACCCCTTATTTTAAAAAATGACATGTAAAAAGATGATAATTTCATATATGAACTTATTAGACTAATTCTAAGCATATGAAACTGCAGGGGTTTTCTCTAATGGCCCAGTTTTTATATTTAATCTTAGTGATATAATGAAAAAATTTTAAGTTTATCTAGTGTCTGGAAAATTATGCCCATCCATAACGTTACCAAAACTCTTACCACTAAAACTTTGATACAGAAGATTACGTGCGATAATTTTGATAATGATTGCTAAGACTCCCACTTCCTTTTATCACCTGGACATGTATCTATTACTTTTTATAATTCTCTCAGACATTGTATGTTCTTACAAAACTATTTCCTTTCTCTTAGCTAATCAGTGGATGATACTAACCATACACACTGCTTGTTTCCTTGACTTTTAGAAAATTTTTCCTACCTGCTATACCAAAATTGGACCTTGATAAGTAGGTGACTAAATGGAAATGATGGCAAAAAAATTCTTCAGAAAACAACTCTGCCTCACGAAATATGTCACTTTGATCTCTTTTGTAGGCCACTTTTACCTTTTATCCTATGATTAACTTTAAGTTAATAAACTGAACACAGAGTACATCCCTACCTATAGCTATCTCCGATGAAGATTTTAAAGATCTGCTACAGAGGTCCATAATATGAACATAAATTAATAATCATGACTGTCATTACCTGATGGCCAAGTGTTCATACTTAATGTAGTCAAAGCAAAGAGAACTGTTTTGTGCCTGGCAAAAAAAAAAAAAAGCTGCACACAAAAAAAATTATTTTGATCTTCACAAAGATCTCTTGTGTGTCTATTACAGTAGTTTTCTATCTCCAGACAAAATGAGCAGCATGCATATGAACACATACACACAACCCACATGGAATATTTCCATGGACGTTAAACATAAAGTTTAAAAGTGAAATAACTAGATTCTAAACATTTTAAATACATGAAAAGACAAGTGCCAAAACCCATATCCCACGTTTAATTTTTTTAATCCTCTACTAATAATAGACAAAGCAGACAACCTTTCTAGGGTATTCCCACCTTACTTAAAAAATATTATGCTGGGTGTCTATCAAACTCATGTTCAGTAAGGAGAAATAATAAATGAATAACCTACATCTGTTCTTTATTCCTTTATCCCTTACCATTCTAAAGCAAGTATCTGGGTGGCCTATTCAGTAGTACTTCATGATTGACAAGGCATTTTCACATAAATTCTCATTTAAGCTACACCGCAACCCTGTGAATTATGTAAGTACCATTATCTCTATTTTATAAATGAGGATGCTAAGGTCAAGAGAAGTTAAATGAATCATCAAAGACACAAAAGTAATAAACAGAAGCCAAATCATAACTTCATCTTTCCTCTGTGCTACCAATCATAAAGTTAGATACAGAAGATGTGTAGCAGCCATAATAAGCTTGATGGCTAGGAGTACACCTCTGGGAAGTTTAGAAACTAGGACAGAATAATCTGAGACTTTCATGTCATCAAAAAGGAGATCTCACTATTTGACTTACAATTATTACATTTCTTCTATTGTGTATTGTACTAGTCAACATGAGAGTCACTAGAGTGGCACTTAGACCAGACTAGACAATAAACCTGCTGGTGGATACACTCAGTTACATGGTTCATACAAATCATTATGTAGTTTGTTTACAGCAAATATAATGGAAATATCTTCCTGAATCTCTCACTGATAGTATATAATCTTTTTGATTACTTTTCATCAATGTTTTATAAATACTTTTCAGTATTTATAAAATCTTATTCCTTTTATCCAAAAATTCCAGACTTTTTTTTTAATCAGTTGAGGTTCTAAACTGGAATAAGTAATTGCTTGATATCTTCCTGCTAACTCTTTAAAGTGCTCTACAGCTGCTGAAGTATGTTTGTGCTGGCACTACAGAGTGGAGCTCTGGGAATACAAAATCTGATATCAGAAGAACCAGAGCTGAGTTCAAAAAAAAAAGCTGTTCTCCCCAGCTGATAAGACTTTCTCTGAAAGAAAACAACCACCAAATCAGAAATACACCTGTAACAGCTCCCGTTCCTCCTCTGTGACACTAGTCAAAACTTCTTTCATTGATTTGATACCATGCTCTCATGTCCATACTTTCTCTGACAATTTAATTGTTGATTTTTGTTAACAAGTTTCACAGTGTAAACATATTACTCCAATGAATATTGTATTAGGTACTTAAAACAAAACAAAAAAATCAACTATGTAATTGCAAAATATTCTCAAAAAACCTCTCCAGAAAGGGCAACATTTCAAAAGAATGGACTAGGTACTCATTTTTCTTACAGATTTAAAATGTCACTAGCCATAATAATCAGATAACATGTCAGTCATACATTTATGCCATAAAATTCAAATGTCATAACTAATCAAGTTTATTTATATTCTTTCCAGGTGAGAAAAAATAAAATCAGCAAACCAGTCACCAGACTTTTACTTTACATTCTGGGAAAATCAGGTTAAAGCAGAAAGAATGAAAGTCTCCAGGTGATGTATTACATACCTCTTTTTGCAGTTTAGAAATATGAATAAATTTCAACTACGGGAAGAAAGATAATAACCCTCATAGCCTGGGATTTTTAAATTATTATTCAGAGGCATAAAGTGACTTTTGAGTCTTGAACCCCCATGAAGACAGAGTTTTACAAATCTGCCTTTATGAAATATATTAGTAATGTGATTCAAAGATGCTGGTAAGTAGACCTGGTATTCCCAGAATTGAGAACATATGAAAACAACAAAAATGGCACTGAAATGCCCTTTTCCAACATCGTGAAAATGATGGCCTTACAATGAGAGATCCTAGTTTTATATTTGCATGTAACTTTACAGTTGGAAAGCATTTTTACATGGATGACTTCATTCAGTCTTCCCTATAACCACCTGGACAATAGAACCCCATTTTTCATATGAGAAAGCAAAATTTAAAAGGCTGGGAATTTTCCAAAAGTCATGCAATTTCAAAATGCACATGAACCCACAATTTCTAGTCCTGAAACAACACATAGGTCTCTATCTGTACTTAAATTTCTTTGTCTTTCAAGGGATGACAATTATATCTGTGCAAAATTGTTCATTATTCCTCAGATATTTAGAGATCATCAATTATATGGCAGGCAAGATTAAGTTATGTGCACTTTGAAAGTAATTTTGATAGTACATAAGAACAAAATCAAAACCTTACACACCAGCGGAAGACCAAAACCTTACACACCAGTGGAAGACAATAGCAATAAAGAAATTGGATTGGGTTTTAAGGGGATTGATGTCAGAGCTGATCATTTCACCCATAGTATTATGATTCTCCAGGGAACAACTGCTACTATGTATTTTGTTCAATATAACATTTAAACTATGATATGCTGTGTTTGAAAAACTAGACAAAATAACATTTAAGAAGTCTAAACTAAGAGACAGAATTTCTGGAATTATTACTCATCTATGATGACTCAGTGCAAACTGAAATTTCTCCCAGTACAGTTTTGAAAAATCTTGTCTATTTATAGAAAAAGAAATTGAGCATTACTGTATCTAGTCTCACTTATTAGAATCATAGAGCTTTAAAGCACCAAATTCACATTGCTTATCATAGCAGTATACAGATCTAGTAAACATCATGT